ACGTCCAGCGTCGCCAAACGACTGGCCCTCAAGACGAAACGAAACCTGTCTATGCCTAGAATCGAACTTAGACCACAATGTGCGCCTCCCCAAGATTATTGATGTACAAGCATTCCGAACACAAGAATATTTCGGGCCGTTATCTGCATCAAGGGTCGATCAGTCTTGAAGGAATATTACCGAAAACGCCGTATTCTCTTACAATTGAAATAGATTCGTCCATTACTTGTGGGCGGCCCTAGCTCCAGGGGTATATCACTCGTACAGTCAGGGCAGGTTTAGTAAAACGTCTACTTTAATTACTATTTATTTTACTACAGAGGGCACTGAAGCGGAGTTACGTAAAACGGTTGCCGGTCGTAATTAAAAGCTAGTAGCATATTCACCTAGTCGATAGGTTGCCGACTTTACCCGCTCAGTAAGTTTTTGGCGGCATTATTCATATTGCCGCTAAAAACTAATCCAACTTAGACTTACAATGTAAGCTAATAATAAATACGATATCGTAGAATCAATCGCCTTCGATATGTGAGAGAATCATTTGAAAAACTTCAGTGGCACCTACCGCCTATCCTGAAATAATCATATCTTTAGAACAATGTAAAATTATATAGACTTCGTTTACACTTACCGTTTGTTTTTGAGCAGGATTGAAAGGACATGAGTGCGTTTTACAGGGCCTGAGGCTGACAATTCTGGATTTATTTAGCAAAAGCCTTAACCGTTTAAGCCATCGCGTTGGCAGTTGGCAGTCGTTTAAATTCAATGACTTCCTCCTTACACACAAGGAGGCTTGGATAAATTTCTTCTTACATTTCAATATTATGCAAGCTTTATTGGTATTAAAATGACCTGAACAAATAGTGCAGACAAGGTAATACTTCATCATTCTCTGCAATTATTTTTAGTCAGAAAAAGTAAGTTTCCAATACACGTGAATACTAGATAGCCTGATGAAGAATTTCGAGATATCTCACAACAGCCATCTCGTGCACATTTAATTGAAGTAGTGTTAAAACGTAACGACTTTTTGATGCTATCTAATGACAAAAAGTATAACAAGAAAGCGCCGATGCCTGCAGGTTACCTCAGCTCAAGTCCGAACAGCTTCTTGATGTTTTTGACTATACTTGGAAGGAATGGCCTAAAAAGTTAATAGCCTTCAAGCCGATCCTGTAAGCAGAGGCATAAAACGTGGTTCAGTAGTTATTTTCCATAATGGCGTCTAATAAGATTGATTTGAATTTGTTTGCATCGACACAGTTTTCCTAAGTCCATAACTTTTGGTGAGTTTGAGCTTGTTTGTACTAAATTGTAAGTACACTGAATTGTCTATTTAAATCATCATATATTTTTTCTGATAAAAGGTAATGATTACTTCAAAAGCAGAAGAAAGATACCAATCGTCTATTAAACTTGTGGGTTATAAGGTTATGCTACCTAGATGTATCTGCAACCTGCAGAGTATTGATCTGTAATAGTACAGGTTAAAATTTTTGGTTTAGTTATAAATAATCGATCAGCAAAGTCTGTATTACTAATGAACTGAATCGGAATACACACACAAAGGTGAGAGAAGATTTTAAATAACCTGGGATCAGTGCCAAAATGTAGGAAATCGCTTACCTACTAATATGCGCCAAGCAAAAAATATTTTTTATGTCAATATGAGCGTATCTCTTTTCAGTGCGAGAAATTTCTACCTTAAGACACAGAATGACAAATTTCCAAGTAGCAATAGATATGTCTTGTTCCTTTTTGCACTTCACTGGCTATTAACAATCGAAGAACTTTCGCCTCAATAGCTTCAATAATCGTGACTTCTCCGCTGAACTGCTTGATGATACTGTTAAGTTTCTCGTATCTTTTAGAACCTTCTGTGCAGTTTAGGCCATCTGCTTCGGCTTGCTCCTCTCAAACCTTGCGTGATATACTATAGACAAACACAACAAGATTTTTCCTCCACGGTTTCTCTATTTTTCTATACCTAGTATTCGGTATTTAAAGGTGCCTGTCCTCCTTTCGCTTATTAAAAAGATAGCTGTATAATAGAGAATGATGGAATATAGAATGGCAACAACGACGAAGTTAACGTTGCACATGAAATTCTGGTGCTAGCGTTGAAAACGACACGTATGAGGGGGAGAACATCTCTTTCGGAGACTTGTCCTTAGCGTTATCGTTACTATTAGGACCAAGAGGCAATCAGCATCCAACTTACCTTGTCGGTAAGTAGACCAGCAGGATCGTTGATTTTTTCCTGGCATTTCGCTCTCCATTTTGGTCGAGCCCTCGGTCGATTCAGGAAGGTCCATATTGTTCAGCTGTTTTCTCCGCGGTGACATTTACGCTCACTTACATATTATGTTCACAAATCTGTCTTGCCACAAATATCCTACAAAATCCTGCTTGGTCTGTCCACGGTGCATTAATTGCGTGCATACTTCCGTTATTGCGTTGATCTCTTATCTATTTTACGGGTCGGTACGACGGCTCTAGTTATTTCATTTTTTTCGTTATAGCTTGTTTGTTGTAAAGGGCAACGTAAACAGCCTGTAGACATGTAACTCTGAATTCTCTCACACGTGCTGAATGTCCGGCTGGTGCATTATTCGTAGACATTCATTCCGTCATAGACGCTCATCTCTGCACTCTATTAAGAGGGCTTTACGGACCAACGAGGTAGATTCATGAAGTGGCAACATCTACACGACACGCATTGTTACCTCTCAAGACATGAGAGCCGTTCTTCGATTTACATATCTTTTATAGCAAGTATATATACGCTTCGTACACGCATCGGAATAGGAGAATAGGACTGCTGCATTAGATGAGCAAAGCTACGAAATGGCTATAGAAGCAATGCGGCGATACCTAAGCCTAGAGCGATTAGCCCATTTTTTAATTCGTTGCTAGAACCGATGTCCGGCACGCTGTCAGTTAAGCTCTGTCGATACAACTGTAGCACAAAAATAAGACGAAACAAATTAGCGCAATCTATACAGCCCTCAAGGGACTTTATGCAATCGGGATTGAAGTTAATAGAATTCTTGCATATATGCGTGCATAGCCGTAACTCTGGCTAGACATTAGCAAACGTAAGTTGAATTCGATAACTTAATTTTTGACTAGTACAAACATTAATCTGAAATGGGTAATTTGTGTCACTTGAATGGGTAATTTTTCCTACAGCACGTAATCGGAAAGAGCAATACAACGCTTCTCGAAGCGATCAGCGTCATTTATTGACGGCGGAGCTCTTGGTATTTCGATTTCTGCTCATTTTGTATATATCACGGATTCCTTTTGATGATGATTATCAATAGCCGTTTAGTGCTCTGTACCTATAACCGTTTCATGAGAAAAGACGGCTCCACCAGGTGAATGGCCCACGTTTTCAATTGTAACTACCACGGAAACCGACGGATCCGCGTTCCTAGGATAGACAACATTATATAACACTGATACAAGTTACTAACATTGAAGTTAAAGGCATCATTAGTTCTAAAGAAGTCGCTTATGGCGCAAAATTCGGCGATCGAACACTTATGAATGCTTAACTTTCCTTAAGTTCCTTTTTGGAATTCTGAATGTCGTAGAGTAAATAAGCTACGTGTCTTTACATACAGGCAGTATATCACATCGAATTAAAACGGCTTGTCATTTATGTCAGTTGCAACTTTCTGCGCTCTACGTATGTTTTAAGTATGTGCAGTATGATGGCTGGCGGTCCAGTTTAGCTGGTGATTACATTAGCTTGGACGTCTCCTAAATAGCCCGGTTATCAATAGTCTACGGTCAGCTTGTCACCAATAGAACTAACAGACAGGCTCGATCCGTATCAGGGTAAGCGCCGTTGTCAACAGCTTTATTCTATCAATTTACGTTGATCATTTTACCTTTGTTGATCCACCTGTGATCGTTTATGAAACTAATATATTCGCGATCTGGGTCTACACGGCTGGAGGATGTAATAATTATTCACGATCGGTCTTTAATTTTCGCAGATTAATGAGGCAAAATCATGGGTTAACCAACCGTCAGGTCACCTTTTAAATCATAACTTATATGACATTCGGTGATGCTGGTAGACATTGCTTAAGACGTGCGTTCCCAACCTCCCCTAGCATGAAATGGACTTTAGATTACTACTCAACACGTCACTGCTATAGCACTATTTTCTTGCGTCTAAGGGAAGCCCTGGACGATACGTACTGAACTTACTTTTTTCAATATTCGTACTTTAACTGTCAAATAAATCAGCTTCTGTTCTATGTGTGCCAATATACTTGATGTTATAAAGGGTGTAAGGTAACTCCAAGTTAACTCAATGCATCGCTTCTAGCCGTGTTCACTTCGGCTTTTCCGATACTCTGACCCATACAGTTATGTAAGCTATGTATGTTACGCAGAAAGCTAAACAACTCTATTGAGATAGAATTTGTGTGTAGAAAAATATTTATTGCCAGACACAAAATTTCGGCAATGGGCTGCTTGGCGCCCAACGAAAAAAACGCCCATCGGGTAGCGGAGAAGCAAACGGCGAAACTGGAACCTGGGCCGTACCCAACGGTAGTACTGGTTGTTATAGTAACTGTAGCAACGTTTGGCAAAACGCTTGCTATTCAGACCCGACTGAACGCCGTAACAGGCGGCTCAGAAAGAAGCTGTGTGCCTGCTGCCCAAAGGATCCGGAGGTACGTTGCGTGCTTGCCTATCCCATCTTCTGGAAAAGGGAGGGCACACATTGAGAGGGAGGGTTTCCAGTCATAGCCGCTGCTGTAGCGGTAGTCGTAGTCGTAGCATTGGTGCGTCATAGCAATTGGTTAGCACGGTCTGTATGGTACATAGGACGCGCTTTTGGTAGGCAGCTACAGCAGGCGAGGTTGATCCTATGTCCCCTCTCTTTTCTGAAAGGGCGGCGGTTTTTATTATAACTACTACGAATGGACAGAACACGCAGGCCGGCTAGCGTGCGCGATACACTGTAGTCGCGCCGCCATTGGCGAAGAGACTTTAAAGTTACTGCAGATCGCTGGAGTTGCTGTTGTGACTGGTACGAAAGTTACCTATCGTGCGGTGACGACCCGCCGAAAGAAACACGATACAGTTTATCTTTATGTCATGGCAAGTTTAACTTAAGAAATGACTAACAAACAAGGTGCTATGTGTTATTACTGGAATACTGAGCAAATACTCTATAGAGCGAAACGACCCTCTAAACCTGATGCGATAAAGTTATGTTCTATCTAATTCGACATGTGGATTTAATGAGAGCACTTTTTAGCAAACGATTTGGTATATTATAAAAGGTACACTGACTCTTATATAGTTGATATTGTTCCTGTCGTCCATAAAGTGGTTCGTGTATTAGGATAGTGACCTTTGTGTGTGTATAGCAAAAAATGAAATTGCTTAGTGAAGTTACAGTGGAGTTAATGATACAATAAGGAAAACTAATCCTGGTGCCATAAACGTCATTTTGTTCTACCCATCTTGTTTGAAGCATGTCAGCGGTACATAGCGCCAATTAGGTTTTTAAGCATACCCAGTCGCTGTAACTAGCTCCACAACAAGGAACCTTTGATGGCATCGCACGAGGTAAGTGTAACGATACTCGCGTATTATTTTTCTAAAAAAAAAAAAAGGGAAACACTCATTATATAGTAGTTACTTTCGAGCCAAAGTACGGTACTCGGATTGTAGTAAGAGGTGATTCCCATATAGAGGGAACGAAATATGATATACTTAATCAACCATGCACTGTGCCATTCTATACGAGGCCCATTCAAAAATAGCTAATGATGAGCTGAGAGACCGAAAGAGGCCCCAGAAGGACACAGAGAGCTCGTTGCCAGTATTGTTTTTTTCTTTTCTTTTTTTTTTCTACTTTTGTAGATTTTTGAACCATCTTTAAACATCGACATTCCTGTTAACGCCTTATTAACCGCGGCGTAACACGCTCAGCCAAGAAAATATTTTCAGCTTTAAGCAATGTCTATCAACTAACTATATTTGCAGCATTTTCATCGCAAGGACTGTTACCAGTATAGGATGACTGGCGCCAGGGCTCGAAGTGCGTTAAATGTATCAGGCCCAAGTACCTTCATTATCTATTTGCTATTTTTTACAGCATTATTAAGTTGTAAAGATGATTTTATCATGTATTAGCCGTCACTTCTAACAACTTTATCGCATCTTTCAATGAATTTACGTGTCCCATTCCGCCAGAAATGTTTAGGCATGACGTTGGAGAAATCGTACAGCCGATTCTTAGGACTCGCTTTACTGTCAAATGTACGATTACTAATTTGATTTGCCAGTGGACACAAAAAGGTTGTAGCCCGTCGGCGAGAACAAAGTCCCTATTCAAACTCCTACAGATCGGTTTTAACAACTTTTCTAGTGTTAGATTTGGCATTGTCAAGAATCAAAATTACTTTATTATCTATTGGGTCTTTTATGATGGCCAGCCTTATTTACTTGACGCAAAGAGGCTATATACAGATCTTTGTTAACCTTCTTGTTCTTTTCAAGCAACGCTCAACGTTAATGATCCTTCCAACTTCGCCATCGCAAATAATGCTTTCCTCGGATGGAGTTCTGGGCTCGGGCGTATCTCCCGGAGCTATTCCTTCCCTTCTTTGCTACGTATAAACATAGTGACATGACTTCCCGTTACCTGTAACAATTGTCTGCGGGAACCTATCATTGCGATTCGGCGTTGTTCAGTGCTTGGCAATGAGTAGTTGTATTTCCTAGTGCTCTTCAGTTAGGTTTTGCAAGTGCTTGAGTAAAACCCATAGAATGAAAATGCTTGCCCACGGCCCACGACACGTTTAACATTAGGCAGTTGCGGCGCTTTCTCAAAAGGGGGAATAGGCGTGCATATAGTTACTGTAAAGGGACACACTCTAAAGCTTCTATAACGAAATGCTCTAAGGGTTCTTCCAGATTGTTAAAGATAGCTTCATGCCACTCATAGGATGTGAGTTCCGATAAAGATGCCTTACGAACACTTTGACATCAGGGGGGCCTTTAGTTCTGTTAGATTTCTTCCTACACAGGTAAGTAGATCCTAATATCAGCCGCGTAAATACTTTAGATAACAAATACAGCTAATTTATATAGACGAAATCAGTGTATCTGATTGGATTCACGATCTTATTCGTATACGCATATTGTGACACGCCTTTTTCCAGGCAAGCTTAGTAACGAGGCTGTCAAGGGTGGGCGAAACAGCGAAAGAGGGTAGCTAAAAGCAACTCGCCATTTTATATTCAAACACGGCAGCTGCCACCGAGTAGTTCGACGACACTCGTTGTCCCTTCGCTCTATCTTACGCGGCTGTAGTACTTAAAAAAAAATCAAAATCTCCGCAGTGCTAACAACACACAAATGGCTAAAGAAATCTGGATACACTTTCCACTTTGTGCTTTGTTGGATATTAAATACTACGTACAAGTAGGCTCAGAAAAATCGACCCGAAGCACTGGAGGTTCCCGCTGCGACTTTTATTATGCCTAGTACAATGACAAGTGGATCACATGTACGCCACATAAAACGGAGGCCATAGAAGTCTCTAAATATTCGATCTGTCACTTGCTGCCGCCGCAGATCGGTCTTCTGTAACCCATTCGGAAAATCTTGTCCAGATGCTTATGCTCCGTTACTGTCAAAAGAAGAAGACAGATCTGTTGCGAGAGACAAACAATGTGCTTGATCCATATTGCATATGGAAGGCCTTCCTGCTATTTTTCATCAAATAGGTACAGTACGTTATTGCTTTCAGCACTACTGCGTACGATAGTCGAGTGTTAGCATGGTTACGACTGCTCTACAACCACCCCTCGCTTTCTATGGTCGAACGTGGCGAGGGTGAATGTCTGGTTCTCAGGGCTTTGATAAAAACGTAGCACGTAAGAAAAGGTGACACAACGAATCAGAGTTGCGGCCTTACGCTGCCTATTTTGCAGTCAGGTTCTAGCGACCTGTGGGAGTGTTTGCCATTAGTTGTCGAAAAAAAGGGAGTGAAAGGACCACTCCCTGATATGACATGTCTGAGCTATTGCTTGGCGGAAACGAAAGCAGCTAGATTCCGCTCATTTTCTTCCTTAATATAATTCTTATTACAAAGGATGCTGAAAAGATTCCGATTCATTGAAGTTCCGATTGACATCAGTCAGAAGCAAACCCGGCTTCATTAATAAACTACACCATGTCTTTGCTATAGTAGCGCAATGCGGTGGCACATGCTTACCTACTAACTGGACTGAGAAGACAAAGGTGGTCCTTGTAAAAACGCCTTAATGCTCCAGCAAATGTATGCGTAGTAGGACATGCAATGAAGGTAGTCATTAATCATTATAGTACATAACCTGCTAGATAACTCGACGTAGCTCGCATTGGGTCTTCAGCCTGATGAGTTCCTGATGGGATGCTAAAAAGCAGTACCAAGGCCTGTCGTACAAGGAACAGACGAGAGCCAGCTGTTTATATACCAAAGGTTTTCGTGCAAGGTGATTTACCTTAATTTTTTGTCGATTTTGAGTAATATATTTCCTCGTTGTTCTTGTTGTTTTCCGACTACCTAATAAAATATCTTGGGGAGATTCATAACTTGAACACTCCAAAAGTTGGCTAAAAACAAAAACATGGGCATAATGGAGCCTTTCTAAAAGTCGCGCGATAGAACTGACTCTTTGAGCTGCCTTTTCTATAACTTATCATTTTTTTAATCGTAATAAGTTCAATAGGAAATTTAATAATAGCTCAACGTGATATCGAAATTACCTTTTGAAACTTCGTAGACTATTGTACCTCAAACTTCTACAGTAGCCAAATGGATAAATTACTATCTACTAGATGCGGAAAGCCACAGATAACAACGATGCATACTTCGTAAACTATTGTAAAAAACATTCGGAAAATTGAAATTCACTATTTTATGCTGGATACTGAACAATCTCATATATATACACACCGTACACGATGATGACGACGTTTGTTATCATGGACGGCCGTTCAATAACGACGATGAAGTACCCAATGTAAGGGCTACCTTTGCGTAGCAACTCATCTTGGTAACGGTAACGAGCTGTCGTTGTGGGTTTACAAATTTCTTGTTTTATTCTGGGGGTTTGTCTTCAAAAATCAGGAAGTATTGATAAAAAATTTACAAAACAACATCAGACGCAAGCTTGATTGACGCAAGCAGTTCCGCTAAGATACGTGGTTCTGTTGCTTTTAGATGCCTTTTTAACTTAGCTCTCTGATATAGAGACAAACTTAGAAAAGTAGCATTGTGGGCTGCTAACAGGTGGGCATCGTAGTTGTATCGTTGTTCAGTTTCGACGGGTGTAAGGTCTCCGAAGGAAAACTTCCTGCTCTCTTTATATATACAATCGTAACTCACGCTGCTATTTTCCATACATCTGCTTTGATATACTTTCGTGGCTATCGAACGATGTTCGATCCAACGAAGCTTAGGTGGTGAAATACAGAAAATTCGTAAAATATTTTTCTATTTAGTTTGAAGAAGAGTATAATAAGGCGAAAAATTATCGAGCAAAACCGATCGCGCTTCAACTATCGTAAATAGAAACTAAAAAGTCGGTTATGATTATGTAATATTGCCCATGTAACATATTGGGACCTCTCACGGCCTGGTGACAATTCAACAAAGCAGCTTTATCTTATATCTTTCATATAGTAAGCATAGATAAGGCATCTCTTTATCAACGCCTAAACCTTATCCTATAATACCTACATCGTATCGCGGTGTACTGGTGTGTCGCTAGTCCCGTCGCCCTCGTACAATGTTTGCCCTTTCTTTTTAATTTGTTGATTTACAAAAACAAGACGACCGAGGACAACGTAGCCCCCACCATTCGGTTTGCCCTAATTTGCGTTTGCCCCAACTGTGATGCGCTCTGTGCTGCAACGGTACATAAACATGTACCGAATGTGTGCCAGCTGTTTCATGAGGCAACTATAAAAGATATTGTTTCTTGACCGACAATAATTGCTTTAGCTAGAGTTAACCACAGACATGAAAACAGCGTATGATACCTGACGGCCGGAAAACACGCAAAAGACCCGCAGTCAGCCAACCAATAATCAAGTCTTAGAGGTTGTTCTTCTATATACCAATGCTATAAAATATAATACTTGAACATCGCTTGGTAGGTAACACTAATACCATAGACACTTGTTAAACGTTGTACCACTGAATTACCACGAGGTGCCTGTGCGTAATCACCAAAACTTCTGATACGTTGCACTAACAGAAAAATACACTGAAAAATTAAAAATTCTTGGATACATGGCAATTTGCAAAAAGAACAGAAAGCATAAAATGCCTAATGTATCTGATATAGTACTTTCTCCCTTTACAAGGTTACATAAATTTGAATCTAGTCTGTCTACCGAAAAGGAAAGAGAGCTCATTTGTAATGGCCTCAATGTCAAGAGCAGAAGCCACTCGTTTGAACAATGTTATTAAGTAAATATGATTTGTACGACGATTAAACTTTACAGTTGTGGGGCCGTGTTCACTAATTTGTGGACAAGCACAAAGAAGCACAGAAGAAAAGCGCGTT